ATCCACCAAGAGTAAATCTACTCTCAAAAAAAAAAAAAAAAAGTTAAATAAATCAATATTTCAGGGTGACCTTCGAAGAACTCCCATAACTTTCCTTATCCTATACCATGTTCCACAAAACAAAAACACAGACACCTGGAGCTGAGAAAGTCTTATTGGAATCCAGTCTAACCTCCAATGTTTCTCATAAGGTCTCCAAAAACAGGACCGTCAATAGCCTCCAGACCCCTGGTCCTAGGTTTTACTCCCCATAACTCAAGTTCCTCTCCTGTATAACCTAACCCATCGCCACTAGTTTCTCCTTGGCTGCCATTTTGGGATTTGCTGCTCATGGCCATCATGGTATTCCTGAGGAATGGCTGTGACTCAGGCTGCAAAGTCAACACTCCCATTCCTCAGCAGACACTATTCACATCAGGAACCTACATGACCAATAAAGGGGATGTTGCCAGGAGGAACGTTCCTACGGGAAGGATCTGCTGCACAGGCTCTCTCTGAAGATGCCTCCAAGCCTCAGCAGAGCGTACCCCTGAGCAGGTCTGACCCCAGCAAGCCCTCCTCTCTCTTACTGTGTTCCGGCTCATTCTTCCTGTACACCAAGTAGATGACATCCCCAGTCTGTAGAGGGCATGTCTGCTTCTTAACAACCTTTAGCTTGTTAATCACTGTTCCATTGGTGCTGAAAAAAACAAAAACACAATTTATCCTACTTAAAATAGCTTGGAGTTACAAATTTTTTTTCTAGCACCATTAGCAAAGAGGCTCAACATGACCGTCTGGAGATCCTCACAGGAATGGTGTCGATATTTAACGATGCACGCATGCATGCACCCTCGCCAATCTCTCGAGAAATGGCTCCCCACTTCTCCCTGACAACCTAACCAGCAGCCACACCTCCTCACGTCCTTGGCACCTGTGCTGCTGCAGGGCCGGGTTCTCTCCCATGTGCCTCCTGGTGGACTCCGAGGCCTCGTCCCACAGTGTGGTGCTTCCATCTCCAGCCACCCCGAGTTGGACCTGTGCTATCCACAGTTCCATTCCTTGCGGCCATCACGACCCCAGAGCTCATGCCTCAAATAAGTACTGATTCCTCCCAAGAGACTGGCTCTGGGCAGCAGAGTAAGTGCTGGGCCATTAGCTGCAAGACGTGGCCCTGCGCTCAGAACCTGTGGTTTGGTTGCCAAGCCCCTCGAGGCAATCTGGCCTGGGGAGAGGCCAATGAAGACGCTGCTGACCCAGGGACGGACAGGAGGAAACTAAGTCAAGGGGGCAGGAAGTGCCTCCAGGGGACTTCTGAACAGAGACCTGACAGAAAATCAGGCACTGGTTGGGTGATGAAGGTCCAAGAGCACAGCATACCGACACACAAAACCACAACCAAGCAAACCGACCCATTTCAGTCAAAGCACATGGCCTCAGCTCTGCAGCTCCACTCTCAAGGCCCCAGCAGTGGACAGAATTCACATCTGAGTGGCCACCACAGTCTGCTGAGGTACGAGAGTGGCAAACGAGTATTGTAAACAGACGGTAAACAGTGTAGGTTTTGTGGTCACCTGGTCTCCAGTCACCACTGCTGCTACTCAGCTCTGCCACCCGTAGCAGGAAAGCAAACGCAGACGGTAAGCAAATGAACTGCCATGGCCATCTCCCCATAAAACCTTCAAAACCAGGCAGTGGCTGTGTCTGCTGTTGCAGTACAAAGCTGACCCTGGAAGACGCAGGTTTGAGCTGTGCAGTGCACTTATACACGGGCTTTTTTCACCTGGAGGGACGCAAAACCCACACATCTGCTGGACCGACTTTCTGTACCCTTGTGTTGTGCAGGGCTGGTTACAGGGCTTGAGTGCGCACGGGTCTGGGTGCATGCAGGAGCGCAGGAGCCAATCCCCCCGGATGCCAACGGGCGACTGCAGTCATCACTCATCCTCACGCTCTTTCCAAACAAAAATCTGCTTATTTCACTTCCCTCGATGACTCCTCACTGCCCTCAGGCTAAAGCCCAAGCTCCCTCTGCCGCTCACCACGCACTCTGACCATACAGCCTTGCTCATGCTTGGGGGTCCCCACACGTGTTTCTTCTGCCTGAGCATCCACCCCTAAGCCCACCTCTGCCAAGGAACGTAACACCTCTGGAAGCTGGAAAATGCAGAGAACAAATTCTCCCCTGGAACCTCAAGAAGAAACCAGCCCTGTACAGAGCTTGATTTTAGCCCCATCAGATCTATGTTGGACTTTGGACCTCCCTAACTCTTGTAAGACAATAAATCTGTGTTTTATAAATCCACTAAGTTTGTGGCAATAGCCACAGGAAACTAACACCCCCATACAGTCAGTCCATGGAAGCTAAGCCCTGGTACCGGTGGGACGGCCCAGGGCCAGCACCCAGCATGGGAAAGCCAGGCCCTGAAGCAGGTGGGACGGCCCAAGGCCAGCACCCAGCGTGGGGAAGCCAGGCCCTGGTACAAGTGGGATGGCTCAGGACCAGCACCCAGTGCAGGGAAGCCACACCCTGGTACAGGTGAGATGACACAGGACCAGCACCCAGCACGGGGAAGCCACACCCTGGTACAGGTGGGATGGCCCAGGACCAGCACCCAGCACGGGGAAGCCACACCCTGGTACAGGTGGGACGGCCCAGGACCAGCACCCAGCCCAGGGAAGCCACGCCCTGGTACAGGGGGGATGAGCTAGGACCAGCACCCACAGCAGGGAAGCCAGGTCCTGGTACAGGTGGGATGACCAAGGACCAGCACCCAGCCCAGGGAAGCCACGCCCTGGTACAGGGGGGATGACCCAGGACCAGCACACACAGCAGGGAAGCCAGGTCCTGGTACAGGTGGGATGACCCAGGACCAGCACCCAGCACTGGGAAGCCAGGTCCTGGTAAAGGTGGGATGACCCAGGACCAGCACTCAGCACAGGGAAGCCAGGCCCAGGTACAGGTGGGACAACCCAGGACCAGCACCCAGCACAGGGAAGCCACGCCCTGGTACAGAGGGGATGACCTAGGACCAGCACTCACAGCAGGGAAGCCAGGTCCTGGTACAGGTGGGATGACCCAGGACCAGCACCCAGCACGGGGAAGCCACACCCTGGTACAGGTGGGACGGCCCAGGACCAGCACCCAGCCCAGGGAAGCCACGCCCTGGTACGGGGGGATGACCTAGGACCAGCACCCACAGCAGGGAAGCCAGGTCCTGGTAAAGGTGGGATGACCCAGGACCAGCACCCAGCACGGGGAAGCCAGGCCCAGGTACAGGTGGGATGACCCAGGACAAGCACCCAGCACAGGGAAGCCAGGCCCAGGTACAGGTGGGACAACCCCGGACCAGCACTCTGCCTACTCCATTGTGCCGAGAAATACAGAACTTGGTCTGATAAGCATCAGTTCTTCCCAAAAAAACCTACTTCCTAATCTTCTACCCCTGAAACTATTAGTTGCCTAAGAATCTCATAGAGCCTAATCTTTACCAACTAAAAAAAATCCTGCAGTGAGAAAAGCACACTCTCGACATACTGCTAGAAGACCACCTGCCACTTATAGCAGATTTAAAATGGGCACATTCTGACAGGGTGCGGGAGCTCACACCTGTAACCCCAGCACTTTGGGAGGCCAAGGGTGGGTGGATCACCTGAGGCCAGGAGTTCAAGTCCAGCCTGGCCAACTTGGTAAAACCCAATTTCTACTTTAAAAAATACAAAAATTAGGTGGGTGTGGTGGCACTCGGCTGTAATTCCAGCCACTCAGGAGGCTGAAACAGGAGAATCACTTGAGCTTGGG